CGATCCTCCTCCCTCCGCTCTTTCACTACTTCCCACTTCCTCTCCTCCGCGACCCTTGCATTATCCGTCATTCTCGAACTCCAGCATTCCGATATCGCGTACGACGCGACGTCATGTTGTTGCCTATCCTCACGGCATCTTCACTCGCGAATTAGTCACTATCGTCCATTAAACCCTTTAAATGGAATTGTTTCTCCTTTAATAGAGTATGATCTGTATGGATTCTTCCAAAATGTTTTCATTCGAAAATCATAGGAATCACGTGTCCTTTCAATAGTACTTTCGAACTTTATAAATTGTCTTAAGGGAAGAAAATTTTGAGTATTGTTATGTATTGATAATATTTAGAATAATCTTTAATCGTCACATTGAATTTATTATATTGGACATAATGGAACAGTCCCTTACACTCGATTGAATAATTTCTTTTAACGTCGTTATTCCCTCAGAAAGAACTTGACTCTGTTAACGAAGGGTAATTTGTGACCTTTGGACGAGCAGAAGAAATTTATCGCGTTCATCATTCAGATTTTTATAATCATCTTGTAAATAGCACTTTTAATTAATAGAGTGGTTTGGGCAAATTTTGATCACCAATACGTGAATCTGTGAATAAGTAAAAATTTACAAAGAAACTTTTACTTAATTTTTCGAAAACTTTTTTATTCTAGTATTTTGAGTCGCAAATTTTACACTGTATAATTTATTTTTACATATTTATATTTAATATAATTTTATATATATATATATATATATATATATATGTGTGTATATATAATATATGTATTCATCTATATATTACGTATATATCGCCAACGTTCTTTGCTTTCATTCGTTCACAGAAAGAAGTAAAGAGCTTTGTCGCCGCGGCATCAAAAGCTTGAATAACGCGACGATGAAAGAAGGAAGTATCGGTACAAGAAACTGCACAGTGAATACTGAAAAGAATGTTGTCGCGAGGAGAACGGCGGCAGATGAGGGGGATGAAAGAGTTAAGAAAGAGAGCGAGCGAGCGACATCGCAAAAAAGAAGAAGCAGCTAGAAAGAAAGGCAGAAAGAGAGCGAGAAAGATGACGGGAAAGAGGAACGGGAGAAAAAGACACGCTCTATGAGAAGAAAACCTTTTGAGGGAAAGTGATGAGCATTTCTGTGGGAGATCTAATACAACCATCGAGATAGACATCGAAAGAAATTAAAATGTTTCATGAATTAGCAGCGCGTTATTATAAGTTATTGTTGAAAGAAGTGATTTATCACAACGTTAGTATTTAACAAGAAAATGTAGGAGTAGATTAATTAATTTTTATTATTTCCTAAAAGTAATTATTGAACTTCAAAGAGGATTAGAAAATAAGATAATCAAAAGAAAATATTATATATCAGCAATAAAAGTTTTTTTATTTAAGTAATAAAAGTTTATTCGTATTAACAATAAAACTAATTATAGACGACTATTTTCTTTTCAAGACTTCAGACTTTCGAATGTCTCGTTTATGATTTAAAATCAAAAATACAGAAAACTTTTAAATACAAGTATCTACTAGTAAATACTAATGTCGAATAAGAAATGAATAAAGAAATGCTGTTAGAAAGGATTGTGCAGCGACAAATGTTTCTGTATATGCATTAAATGCGTCTTCAAATCTACGTTTTGTGTTTGATTGCCGATACTATCTACCGTCTCGCGTTCGCGAAAAGAGAAGCATTTCAACTTGCGTCCCATCGCAGGAGAGCGGTGGACGAAACAATGTGGCTTTTGTGGGGCAAAGGAACGGCGAAGCCCGCCTAAAGAGAAAAGCTAGGAGCGATTGAAATACTCTCGTATGTCCGCCTTTCTTCGTCCGTTTTATTCCTGCCTCTTTCAGGCCCCGCTACCGTGCTCGCTACCGTTGTTTCCGCGCCTTTTATATTTTGTATTACAATAAGCGAGATATATGTGTGTGTGTATGTTTTGTGTGTGTGTGTGTGTGTGTGTGTGTGTGTGTGTGTGTGTGTGTGTGTGTGTGTGTGTGTGCGCGCTTATACAAATGTGAATTCATATAGAACAAAAATGCTTCAAAAGTATCTCTCGATTGGGGAACAAAAATGTGGTGTGATCTTTGAAAGGAAAAGTTCAGCGATATTTCTTTTGTATTTTGAAAATATACGCGTTTTCCACTGAACTCATAGATTTACGAAAATATGAACTTGGAGATCGTTGATCTCACGACGAGCGGCCGAGGAAGCTACATCGAAAGAAGATTTTCGTGAAGGGGTAGGAAGCTGGGTAAGAGCAAAAGAATGAGAAAATAACGACGGAGGCCGATGGGGGTGGCAGGATGGTGCGGTGGGCAATGGAGATGGAATGGGTATGTGTCGAAGGAGCGAGTATTGGGCGAAGGGGGAGGGGGACACATAGGGAGGCGGTATGGGTGGTTGCAGGTTGGTAGTCAAGACTGCCTTCAGATTTCCAGAGTGAAGCATTGTGTTCCGAAGGCGCATTGTCCTCCCGTCGGCGGGAACTCGACAATGCCGAGTCTGTAAGTTAGTAACCCTACCGTAAAAACTTATCTCCGCCTCCGAACCACCGACCTCCAGCCTCCGTGATTCCGTTCGATTTTCAACTTGCCCCTCTGTCCTTTCACTCCCTCCATTGCATTGGCGCGTTCTCCTGGGCCCCGGGGTTCCGGAGAACGTGTATCTTTCTCTCGCTTCCTCCCTTTTCAGATTACGACAGAACAATTCCACATCGCGATTCTGACGTCTTCCTTCTTGCGGAATCAAGCCGACCGTCGCGTAACAAATTCGTTTCTCGCGGTTAAGAATTGAGTATCTCCTGCCCGTTTTCTATAGATACTCGCTACGAATATCTTTAAATTGAACTCTAACAGCGACTAGTCCAGATCACATTTAGTATCGCGCTTGCCATATGCTTGGTTTATGCTTCAGTCATCTTAAAATCCTAAAATTCAGCCAATAAGACTGCCAGTCTTAATTGGTCCTAACTGAAATCTGTATTCCATTGGCTGAATTTTAGGATTTTAAAGTTAAGAAATATAAACCAGACAATAAGTTAGAAATTAATTTTTTTATAATTATGATAACCCTTAGCATGTACACACGATTGGGTCATTCATATCTTGTTTTTTTTGTTAAACTAGGAGCATCAAGTAATCAGCTAGCAAAGCCCAGATAGCAAAATGCCTGTAGTCTTCTAACAGATTCTCAGCAGATTCGAGCAGAAAATGACGGCAGTCATTAGGCTTGTGTTCTGTTAACATCGCCTATTGACATAATGAGAAGATAAATTGTTAGCAGAAACTGAGCAGATTCCGCTAATTCTGTTACATTTTTTTCTAGCAGTCTTTTTTCTAGCTGTCAATAATATTATGTACATCTAATTCTATAACAATTCTGTTGTTATTTTATTGGTACAGTGTATAACAGACATTAAAAAAATCTGCTTTCTATAAACTTCGTTATCTGGACAGTTATAACATTTAATCAATTTTTTTAAATACATAGTTTTATATACTTTCTAAAAATGTTAAAGTATATGTAAAAATCATTTGATATAATTCTTGTATATTTGTTAAAGCAATGAAAATTAATCCGGAATGACTCATCATGTGTATTGAAAGGTCGGAAAATCATTGTGAGTATTAAAGGCCGGAGCACAAATTTTTGCTTAACGCATAATGTATAAAAAAATCAGTCTTTTATTTTATGGAAAGGAGGGAACGACTGATTAACTAATTTTCTTCTGCGCGTTAAAATCTGTTGTGCTCTCGCCCTAAGGAAATAATTGCATTTTTTAGCATTATTAAGAACGATAATAACGATGTATTAATAACTGCGCAACAATATGCGTAATTCAGTTAATGTATCGATGATTCGTGAGTACCGAGGGAATATACAATACACAATGGGGCACACGGCGCGGCGCACGATTCCGAGAGTCGGAAGTGAACGTTCCGAGGAGCGGATACAAGCATTAGGGGTTGGCGGGTGGTCTTCTCCTCTCTCTTTGTCTCTCTCTCTCTCTTTCTCTCCCGGTCAAACTCAAGTTGCCGGCCGGCCGGACAACGCTCGGCTGCTGGACAAAGCTCCTCTAATTGTTCCTATCAGCGACGAAGAATGGACCGCGGGCCTGCCTCTGACAATTTCATTTGTAATTTGCATAAGGCTTATTAAAATCACAATGAGCGCGAAGCCGCGCCGTTGCTGCGCCGTTGCTGCGCCGCGCGGCGATGACCGGCGATCAACGGAAAACGATCGCGAGGATGATGCCGATGTGACGTGTCTCTCGTAATCTTTTTCAGAACCGCTTATACCGGAGTGAAGGATATAATCGCATTACATCGAGCGACGTCGATTGGTGTGATGTTAACGCTTTTTTCGCAAGCTGTTCTCTTATCCGCAATTTCGGATTATGAAATTGAATTTATCTCTCGAGAAAAAACGAAAAAGTGTTGCGATACAAATTTATCATAAATAGGATTTCCAAATTTTGACAGTGACGACGCACCTTTTAAATAACTTTGCAATAATTTATTTAACATTAAATATTAACAATATCTGAAATGTATTTCCAAGAATTAATATTATAGTATTTATATATTATGATAAATAAATTGCATAGAATGTGTCAATATTTATAACAATAAGTTCATTTAATATTAAATATATTTGCGAAAATAGAATATTCTTTTTATTATTGAATT